CTGAACTCTGGGCCTGGGCACTGTCCCTCAGCTCTTCAGCTCAAGGTTAGCGCTCTACCACTTGAGCCACAGTGCCACTTCCGGCTTTTTTCTTTATGCTTATGTGATGCTGAGGAATCAAACCCAGGGCCTCATGCATGCAAGGCAAGCGCTCTACCACTGAGCCACCTTCCCAGCCCCGAATCAGGATGATTTTCAAGCCTTATACAAAGAAAATGTTTGGCTCCAGGCATGGCTTAAGTAAGTAGCACACGTCACAGAAGGCCCTGAGTTTTTAATTTTTAGTACCCCTAAAAAAAGAGATGTTTTGGAATTACTTAAAAAATTTTTTTTGATGGTTCTGAGGCTTGAATTTAGGGCCTGGGCTCTGTCCTGGGGCCTCTGTATACTCAAGGCTATCCCTCTACCACTTGAGCCACAGTGTCACTTCCCACCTTTTCTGTTTATGTGGTACTGAGAAATTGAACCCAGGGCTTCATACATGCTAGGCAAGCACTCTACCAATAAGCCACATTACCAGTCCTACTTTGAAATTTTGATAAAGTGGAATATTGAAGTAAGTCAGTCTGTGTAAGTTGATTAAAGAAACAGCACTGTAATAGACTGAACTTGTATGATAAATAATTTAAATATGCTAAATAGCTAATTATGCAAGTACCTCTGATCTAAGAGTATTTATAATATGTAATAGAAAGTAGCCTCAGAACAATGAATTTTAGTTGACTTTGAATTTCATGGGTTTTTCTTTCTCAATGAGCCCATTCAGGAAAAAGTCTTACTGATATAAACCCACATCAGTGCATCTTCCTTTGTGCCATCATACAAAGAACCAGTGTGAAGAAGAGCCAGGTGTCTTGTTCAAACTTTTTTGGTGCATGTTTTTCCTGGCAAGCTGAATAATTAGTTGTAAAGTACACCCAGGAGAGTAAGAAGACTTATACCAAAATAAAAAGTAACAAAACAAGCAGATTAATAGAAAATTAAATTGGCTTAAAGTCAACATTTTATGATCTTAAAGGCTAAATTTTTCTGGAACCCGGAGTTTTGTGTGTGTTTATATGGGGTTGGAGTGCGGCTTAGTGCCTTCTGCCTGCTAGTCAAGTGCTCTATCACTGAGCTACAACTCCCCTAGTTCATTGATAAGGATTATAATAGATTTCTTAGGCGTGTTCTGAATATTACTGGAACTAATCCATTAAGGAGTTTAGCATATACCTTGCAATATATAATGAAATGACCTTCAGTGACTCTTCAAAAGATGAAAACAAGTTTGAAAACACTAAAATGCTTATAAACAAAGATCAGCTAGTGAAATAAAGAAGTGCTGATTGGTTCTCTTAACTGTTAGTGAGATTATAGAGTATGTGTAAAGTAGTTTGTGTTACTCTTTCAGTATTGAACAATCAATGTGACTTAATTGTTGGGTGTTTGTGTGTGTGTGTGTGTGTGTGTGGTATTAAAGGCTATCTAATTTTTTTCTTTTTGTTTGTTATGGGGCTTGAACTCAGAAACTGGATTCTACCACTTTGAGCCATAGTGCCACTACTGGTGGTTTTTGATACTCAGCTCCACTTTCTGGTGGTTAATTGGACATGAGTCTCATGGAACTGGGCTCAGGTGGCTCACACCTATAATCCTAGCTACTCAGGAGGCTGAGATCTAAGAATTGTGGTTCAAAGCCAGCCTGAGCAGGAAAGTCTGTGAGCCTCTAATCTCAGAAAACTGGAAGTGGCGCTGTGGCTCAAGTAGTAGAGTGCTCACCTGAGCTGAAGAGCTCAGGGACAGGATCCAGGCCCAGAGTTCAAGCCCCACAACCAATAAAAAAAAAAAAAGAAAAAGTCTCATGGACTCCTCCCTGGGCTGGCTTCAAACCAGGATCCTCAGATCTTAGTCTCTTGAGTAGTAGTAGGATTACAGGTGTGAACCATCAGCTCTGGACTAAGGTAGCTAAGGCTACCTAATCTTGTTATCTGTTTGGTGGCTTATTTAATAGAACACAAAGTACAGATATAATTTGAGACTAACATCTTGGTTAAGTAAAAGCATGAATTTGATGTTCACTATAGGAGTGTCTCACTTGTTATATTTTTAAATAACAATGTAACAAAATCAATAAATGCATAGGATAAAATGTTTTTAGATAATGCTGTATATATGTAAGAAAATTTGGTATAAAGTAAGTAAGAGGGCTGGGAAGGGGCTCAGTGGGAGAGTGCTTGCCTTGCATGTATGAGGCTCTGGGTTCAATTCCTCAGCACCACATAAGGAGAAAAATTTGGAAGTGGTGCTGTGGCTCAAGTGGTAGAGTGTGAACCTTTAGCTGAAGAGCTGAGGGACAGCACCCAGGCCCAGAATTCAAGCCCCACAACCAACCTAAAGAAAAAAAGCAAATAGATTATTTTAATATGTTCTTGAGACATTTGCGCAATTTCTTTGCAAATACAGAATTAAATTGACTATGAAGATTCAGATTCATGATTTGTTTTAAAAATGATAGTCAAAGGCCAATAAAAATAATGTCTTAGGCAGTATTATTTAGGAGAGTTACTTTTAGTTGATGTGTGATTTAGTTAAGGACTTAGGATAGGTTTTCACAAGAAAATAAAATATTGTAAGCTTGTGGTTGGTTACTAAATTAGCCTGTGAATCTACTTAATCTATAATGAGCTAAAAATAATTGTAACGAAAGAGATTTTAAGAGCTATCATACTAGGTTAAATAAGGAATCACACAGTGGTACTGGAGGAAAGAGGTCAACATGGAGACATACTGGAGGATACTTTTTGAGAGCTTAGAGGCTCATGATGCTAGCTATTTTTAAAATTTCATTACAAATTTTAGCATGCATATAAGAGAAAAGGGGGTTCAATATCACATATCCATTTATGTGTACAGTTTTTTTTTTCATTTTTGTTTTTGGTGATATTGGTGTTTAAACTCTACCTCAAGCCTACTAGACAGGCACTGTATCCCTTGAGTCACTTCCTCAGCTCTTTTGCTATGGTTATTTCTCAAACAGGGTCTCAAGTTTTTTCCAGAGTCAGCCTGGACCATGATCCTCCTATTTATACTTTTGGTATAGCTGGTATGAACCACCACACTATTTGTTGAGATGGGGTCTTACTATTTCCCAGGCTAATTTCAAACTGTGGTAACAGGATAACAGAAGTGAGTCAGCTGTGCCTGCCCCCCAAATTTTTGCCCTTTAAAAAAATATTATCAACACTACATCACCAGCTATAATTAAATCCCTTTTGTTCTGACTTAAAATGAAAAAGGAAGATAGAGATTGTCTTAGACAATCACATATCTGAGGAAAATGGCAGGTGTGGGAAGGTTACTTGAGGAGGGGGCGTATGTGTCCCTGTGTTTGAATCTGTCCTCGAAGTGGCCATTATTAATAATTTTATACATAAGAAAATTAAGACCTGTGATTTTTGCCTTACTGTAATTAGTTCAGCTAGAAATGCCAGAGCCAACACTAGATTTATCATCCTTTTTCTGTATTGTAAACTTAGAGAACAGGAACTATTTGATATTTAATATCCCTCCAAGTATAATACACAGTACAATGTGCAATAACTATTGGCTACAATGTTGAATAGCATGGATTGTCTTTCTGTATTTTTTTTAATGTGGAAAACTTTCCAGTCCATTTAGGTTGAGTATCACCAAGAAATGGGAGAGATTGGGAGAAAGATTCACACATTCTAAAACCTTGTCTCCCTAACTATGATCCCCAGATCCAGGGCACAGGGTTCACCAGAAATGAAGATACTCTATTTCTATCACACACTTAATGAATTTGAATCTTCATTTAATAAGATCTTTGAGTGGTTCACATGCACAGAAATGTTTGGGAAGCCCAATTCAAAGCCCTCTCCCAAGGTAGCAGGGGAAATGGTAGGAAAGAATTTTCATTAGACTCTTCCTGTTGCCTATCTAGAAAAAATTGGTTGCTGTCTGAAGAGGCTTCAGGAAAATGAGAGGAAACAGTGAGTTGCTAACAACAATTTATGTGCTCAGTTTCTTTTTAAAACAGCCAGAAAATGTAACATCATATTTTTCTGTAATAGTTCATTACTGCTATGAATAGGCATTATTTTTTATCTTTTTAGGTTCTGTAAAATTGGAGATATTTGTCTAAACTTTAATTCTGACAGAATTTAGTTTTGTACCTTTGTTAAGTTACACCTTGTTTATCCTACTTCATTAGGTCTTTAAAATACATGGAGTCGTATTTTCAGCTCTATTATCAAAAAGTTTTTCTTTGATCAGAATATTGTCATTTAGCCTTTTTTCCTTACAGTTGGAACGTTAAAGAAATTCATCAGGCTGCTGACTATCTCAAAGTGGAAGAGGTGGTAACTAAGTGTAAGATAAAGATGGAAGATTTTGCTTTTATTGCTAATCCCTCCTCTACAGAGATATCCAGTATTACTGGAAACATTGAATTGAATCAACAGTCTTGTCTTCTTACTCTTCAAGATTATAATAATCGGGAGAAATCAGAAGTATCTCCAGATTTAGGTCAGACAAATCCTAAACAAGGGGCTTTAGCAAAGAAGTCATCTCAAACTAAAAAGAAGAAAAAAGCTTTTAATTCCCAGAAAACAGGACAGAATAAAACACTGCAATATTCTGGTGACATTTTAGAGAACACATCTGTTGAATTCCTAGATGCAAGTAAATTGTCCTCATCTGTAGTCGAACAAGTTGCCCAAAGAAATGATCGTTCAGAACTTGAATTGACATCAGTTGTGGAAAATACTTCGCCGGCACAAGATACTGTTCAGACTGCTACAGTGAAACGGAAACGTGGAAAATCACAGCCAAATTGTGCTCTGAAAGAACATTCTATGTCTAATATAGCCAGCATCAAGAGTCCTTATGAGGTGGAGAACTCTGGAGAAGATCTGGATCAGAGGTACTCCAAGGCCAAGCCAATGTGTAACACATGTGGGAAAATATTTTCAGAAGCCAGCAGCTTGAGAAGGCACATGAGAATACACAAAGGAGTGAAGCCTTATGTCTGCCACTTGTGTGGAAAAGCATTTACACAGTGTAACCAGCTGAAAACACATGTAAGAACCCACACAGGTAAGACTGGTTTGTGGGGAAGATGTGATTGTTTTATACTCTGTCTAAAATAGTTTCATGGTTGGAAGTGGTGCTGTAACTCAAGTGGTAGAGCGCTCGTCTTGAGTTGAAGAGCTGAGGGACAACACCCAGGCCCAGAGTTCAAGCCCCACGACCGACAAAAAAAATAGTTTCATGGTTTTGTTCTGGGGATTTAACCTAGGACTTGGAACATGATATTGCACTCTACCACTGAGGTAGAACCTCAGCCTAAAATACTGTTTTTTGTTTTGTTTTGTTGGTCTTGGGGCTTGAACTCAGGGTGTAGGCACTGTTTTTTAGTTTTTTTTTTTTTTTGCTCAAGATTAGTGTTCTACCACTTTGAGCCACACCTCTACTTCTGGGGGTGATTAATTGGAAATAAGAGTCTTATATGGGCTTTCCTGTCCAACGCTGACGTCAAACCGTTACCCTCAGATCTCAGCCTCCTGAGTAGCTAGGATAACAGGCGTGAGCCATGAGTGCCAGGCCCTAAAATACTGTTGTTGTTTTTATAGAGTTTGGTAGCACATGCTGTTGACTACGTAGGACCAAAATTTGCCATTCTTTTATTCATAAAAGTATTTCAGCATTAGACACTTGAAAATTTGTGATTACAAACCAAATATTAAAGACTGCGGTATTGTTCATTGTTACGCAGATCCTAATGCATTGCTCCTTTATATCTTATATTTTCTCTCAAAATATGTGTAAGCTTTCTAAGTATTTAACAGATTACAGTTATAAGAGAAAATATAATTACAACTCAGGCCAATTTTCACTAATATTAACATTTCTTCCTCAACTGTTGGTTTCTAAATTATACATAACTTCTTTTCTCAGCTTCTGTAGTTTTATTTTACATGTTCTTTTATTTTATATGTTCTTTTTTATTTTACAGAGTTTGAACACCCATAGGTACACTTAAGATCTATGTTTTTAGATGCAATACATTTTTTTTCTTTTTTTTTATTGTAAAGATACTATACAAAGGGTTACAGTTACATGAGTGAGGTAATGAGTACACTTCCTCTTGAACATTGTTACCCCCTCCATTGTTTTCCCCCTATCATCCCTTCCCTCCTTAGCAATACATTTTTTTAAATCATTGGTTACTTTTTTTTTTTGGTCGGTCGTGGGGCTTGAACTCTGGGCTTGGGCACTGTCCCTGCGCTCTTCAGCTCAAGGTGAGCACTCTACCGCTTGAGCCACAGCATCACTTTGGGTGTCCTAGTGGTTTATTGGCGATAAGAGTCTCACGGACTTTCCTGCCTGGGCTGGCTTTGAACCGCGATCCTCAGATCTCAGCCTCCTGCGTAACTAGGATTACAGGTGTGAGCCACCAGCGCCTGGCTATTGGTTACTTTTTACTATTATAAATTGAGAAACAATATATTTCTCTTAAGTCTACTAATGTTTTCAAATAGTCTAGAAATAGATCTTGTTTGCAGTTGTTCCTAGCACTTAGCATTTTCTGAATATCCAAAATGGTACTATTGATGACCACTTTTGAAAACCTATTTGCCTTTAGCAATTGAAACAGAATTTTTCCTCCTTAATACAAAATTTCTTGTTTGTTAGGTGAGCGGCCATACAAATGTGAGTTATGTGATAAAGGATTCGCTCAGAAATGCCAGCTTGTCTTCCACAGTCGTATGCACCATGGGGAAGAAAAACCCTATCAATGTGATGTTTGCAATTTGCAATTTGCAACTTCTAGTAATCTCAAGATTCATGCAAGGTAAACAAAAATGAGCCATTTGACCTTTAAGTTTGTTAATCATCATAGTCTTCTGAACATGCTACTGTATCTGAATTCAGGATAGTAGAGTGCTGTATTCTTAGCACATTCAAGGAAACTGCAAGCCACAGCATTTGGAGGGGAATAAGCAAGAGATGGGGAAAACTGGAAAATAAGACCGTAATGGTAATAGGAGGATGCTTGGATGGGACAAGGGTTTTTTTGTTGTTGTTGTTGGCAGTTGAGAAGCTTTTCCTGTTATGATTGAGAAATAAGTGATATGATCTCATTTGCATTTTAAGATGCTCAATCGTTCTGGCTGTTATATTAGGAAAAGGCTTTAGAATTATCAGAGTGGAAATAAGGTGGCCAGTTAGAAATCAATGGATAAAACCTAAGTGCAAGTGGCCTGATGGTTGTTAAGGCATGGATGATAAGTAATAGACAGGTTCTGGATACGTTGGAGAGGTAAAACTGATACTGACAGATTGCTTGTGGAACTGAATGAAAGAATAAAATAGTGATTTCAAGCTTCAGGGCCTGAAGAATTTGAAAACATAGAATTACCATTTCCTGAGACAGGTTTGTGTGTAGAGCAGTTTTAAGTTGAAAGGTATGATTTTATGCAATGATCAACACGTCCTCTATGTCTTGATGTCTTACTTTCTGTTGCTATGTCTAATTACCTGAGAAAATCAACTGAAAGTAGGAAACATTTATGTTGTCTCACAGTTTCACAGGTTTTAGTCAGTTTATCAGTTGGCTTTGCTGTTTCTAGACCTCTGGTGAGGCAGTGTTGTAGTGGAGAGGACCTAGTAGAGTGAGCTGCTTAACCTTGGGGGCTATAGACAGAGAGAGAGAGAGAGAAGGGGGGCTGAGGGAGGGGGGAGAAAAGGCTAACCTCAGGACAGACTCCAAGGGCACAACTAGATCCTATCTTCTAATTTTCGGGCACTTTCTAATAGCCCATCTAATTATAAACCCATCCACAGATGGGTTCTGAGTTCTGAGTGTGTAACTCAGAAGTAAAGCAACTTCCTAGCAAATGCTCAGTCCTGCCTTCAAACCACAGTAACACACACACACACACACACACACACACACACACACACACACACACACACACACACACACACACACACTCTCTCTCTCTCTCTCTCTCTCTCTCTCTCTCTGAGTGCTGAGTGTGTAACTCAGAAGTAAAGCAACTTCCTAGCAAATGCACAGTCCTGCCTTCAAAC